AGGAAGGAAGAATTGATGAAGCACTTACTAGGTACCAAGCATTCTAAGTGCAGGGGGTGGGGGAAAGGAGGGAGCAAAAATTAAAACAGTCCCTGCCTTCAGGGAGCTTACATTCTAAAGGGGCAAGACAATGCCAAAGTGCGCTGAAGGGGAGGTGGAGCAGTTCATGGTTTTGAAGTCTGGAAAGTCAGAAGCAGATCCTCCAGAGAAATGGAAAGTTGCAGCATTGGCCACCATGAAGGACCCTAGCACCATCCCACAACATGGAACAACTGAAACCAAGCACATTTATGTGGGTGGGTGGAGGACAGGGCTCACCAGCTGGTTGATCTGGGAGAAGGATGGGTTCTGGATGTGAAGTCTGTCTGTCGCAATTCGATTCAGGGCTGTGTTGTCCAGAACCACCTGAGGAGGGGTGGAGATCAAAGGAAAGTCAGCTTTGCTTAAAGAATGAGCTAAATCTCCCCAAACTGCCAGAAAACATGTTGATCTCTTCACTCCCCTGGCAATGGGGAAGACTCACTGAAATCTGTCATTTTTTTCAGTACTGTCCAACTCTTCATGACTACATTTAGGGTTTTCTTGGCAAAGGTACTGGAATACTTCACCATTTCCTTCTCTAGCTCATTTTACAGATGAGGAAACTGAGGCAAACAGGGTTAAGTGACTTGCCCAGGGTCACACAGCTAGTAAAAGTCTGAGGCTGGATTTGAACTCAGGAAGTTGAGTCTTCCTGACCCCAGGTTCGGTGCTCTATCCACTGGATATATACTTGTATATATCCTTTACTATTGTATTATGCCTCCCACATGAAATTTTAAGCTTTTTATGGGCCAAGGGGAGTGGGGGTAGGGGTTTGACTCTTATACTTCTGCCCCATCCTGCTCCCAGAATCTCTAAGATACTAAGCATTCAGTGAGTGCTCAATAAATATTTTTTGATTCAGTGACTGAGGGGTGGGCACACCTGACTCAGCAGATAGGATAAACTGATTTTGTATAGGCATTGGAGGACC